GAAAGGAAGCTGCAATTTTCTGAATTGTTTACTTGTTTTAATTCTTCCTATCTTTTTCTCTCTTTCAGTTTTTTTTGTCCCCCTCAAGTTAATACTTAAGTGAGTTGCCAAATGGGGGCAAAAAGAGTAGAAGAGATGAACCCCACATTTGACTTTAATAGGCAAAGGCCCAAGAGAAGTACCAATAAGAGATCTCCAATTGGGAGGTGCTATCCTATAATTTGACACACATTTCTTATTATTTTCAATTCTAACATCATGTCATCTATATTGCGATAGGCCATTGTAGTTAAATTTTCAAATAACCAAGTTGCTCTCTATTTTCCAAAGAAGACTAGAAAACAACTTACCATCTATCTGGTGCTTCTTCTTCCAAACATTAGAAAAAACAGAGCTACATCCAGGAGGAGCCCAGGAGATGACACAATACTGCCTACTATGATTCTTACTTTCTCCACATTCAATGAGACTATAAAATATAACCCAAGTGGTCTAAGCCCCCGGGGCGGAAATTGGGTTTAGCAGGTTTAGCACTGATTGTTGTATAGTCTTCATGATCTAGGCAGGAAATATATTTGAAAGCAAAAAGAGTGAGAAGTTAGATATTGATAAAGAAAGAAAAAAAGAAATTCTGTAATGTCTATCATCCATTGATCTTAACAGACGAATTTTGAAAGTAGAGTTTGATAATTGTGTCCAAATCCAAAATTATAGAGTAACAATCTTTGGGTTTGTTATGTTTTGACTTTACTTTTTGTACATGATCATGAAGAGATGGATAACTCCCAATTGACTGTTCCATATCCAAAGATGTTTCTTTTTTCTCTTGTTTTCTTTAAAATTTGCATTAACACACTGACTTTTGAGATTAAAAATGACTCGATACCTAATTCTGATGCTGCCATTCTAAAATAAATATGTTGCCCATTTTCAGTGAAATTTCTTACATCAATCAGCTCACTAAACCACAGCAGGCGCCCACTTCCTCCATCCCTGGTATCCAAGTTTGCAAAAGCTGTGCAGGAGCAGTTCTTCATGCACAACATTTCACATTCCTTGAGTTCCATACTTCTGTTAAACCCAGATACATCATTTGCAGTCTGTTTTGTTCACTCTTAAGGTTTGTTTCCCGTTTCAGCTTAAAATCTTCAGCTTTCAAGCATCAAGAAAGTACAACTTCGATCTTCATGTTTTAGAGTCTAAAGCACAAGATGCCGAGGATAGACTCGAAACGGCTGCCTCTCAGGCTCAAAAGGTCATGCACTGATGTACTCAATCCATCTTTGGTCTATGGCTATGAGTGTGTGATGTTGTTAGTGTGGTGTTCATTTTGCCATTGGCTTCTTTCTCATTGCTTTCAGATGGCTGACATTGTTACAGAACAATGGATTCAAATTCAGCGGCTTGGGCAGGCTCTTCACATTACACAAGTAAGTTTTTTCCGCTCGAAACTGGCTTCAGGTTCTTTATTTGCTAAATTCATAAGTTTTGCCGATTCACTAATATTTGCTAGTTCCTTCTTGGTTGGACTGCCTTTCATTCTTTGGATATTGCATTTCTGTTATAGATTTTGACATTTGATCATGCCCTCTTGCCTCCTCCTCCTCCTGTTGCATAGGAACCCAAAACCAACCCCATCAAAGAACAGAAAAAAAATAAATTGAAATATTACACCACCTCAAGTGAAAAATCTAATTCATTTAAGCTTTTATATTTGTTCTTGTATCAGCATCTGTTTTGTCCTTAATTTGATCATCTGCAGCGGTGTAAATGAGGTAGTCTTCATTCTCATTCGAGACAATGCTGAAATTATACCTCACCTTGGGTTCGTCAGGCAAAATCAAATCAAATCTTCCCTTAATTGTTGTAAAAATTCCGCTTGTCCAATAGACCACCCCACTTTTCTTGATATTCAATTGTTGTCCATTGGGGTCCCAATCAAGGGTGAAAAGCCCTGGCGCTGGGTTGGAGTGAGTTGACCATGATGAAATAGACCAAATGTGGCCTTTCTATGGTTCACACCTAATTTCATTAGAAAAAACAGAGCTACACCCAGGAGGAGCCCAGGAGATGACACAATACTGCCTACTATGATTCTTACTTTCTCCACATTCAATGAGACTATAAAATATAACCCAAGTGGTCTAAGCCCCCGGGGCGGAAATTGGGTTTAGCAGGTTTAGCACTTATTGTTGTATAGTCTTCATGATCTAGGCAGGAACTATATTTGAAAGCAAAAAGAGTGAGAAGTTAGATATTGATAAAGAAAGAAAAAAAAATTCTGTAATGTCTATCATCCATTGATCTTAACAGACGAATTTTGAAAGTAGAGTTTGATAATTGTGTCCAAATCCAAAATTATAGAGCAACAACCTTTGGGTTTGATATGTTTTGACTTTACTTTTTGTACATGATCATGAAGAGATGGATAACTCCCAATTGACTGTTCCATATCCAAAGATGTTTCTTTTTTCTCTTGTTTTCTTTAAAATTTGCATTAACACACTGACTTTTGAGATTAAAATGACTCGATACCTAGTTCTGATGCTGCCATTCTAAAATAAATATCTTGCCCATTTTCAGTAAAATTTCTTACATCAATCAGCTCACTAAACCACAGCAGGCACCCACTTCCTCCATCCCTGGTATCCAAGTTTGCACAAGCTGTGCAGGAGCAGTTCTTCATGCACAACATCTCACATTCCTTGAGTTCCATACTTCTGTTAAACCCAGATACATCATTTGCAGTCTGTTTTGTTCACTCTTAAGGTTTGTTTCCCGTTTCAGCTTAAAATCTTCAGCTTCCAAGTATATGCTAAATTGAAAGCAAATATATAATATTTGGTTGCATTTGTATGTCACAGAGAGACCCATTGGCTACTTATGAGAGGCTTAACGCTCTAGAAGAAGAGGTTCGCATATTTTTCAATTTATTTTTTGCAATTTTCAATTCAATGAAAAAGTAACATAAAGGGTTTGTTGGATTTGAGAAATGGGCTTTGCAATGCTTTTTAGGTACGGCTTCTGTGGGCTGCATCAAGAAAGTACAACTTCGACCTTCATATTTTAGAGTCTAAAGCACAAGATGCCGAGGACAGACTCGAAATGGTTGCCTCTCAGGCTCAAAAGGTCATGCACTGATGTACTCAATCCATCTTTGGTCTATGGCTATGAGTGTTTGATGTTGTTAGTGTGGTGTTCATCTTGCCATTGGCTTCTTTCTCTTTGCTTTCAGATGGCTGACATTGTTACAGAACAATGGATTCAAATTCAGCGGCTCGGGCAGGCTCTTCATATTACACAAGTAAGTTTTTTTCTGCTTGAAACTGGCTTCAGGTTCTTTATTTGCTAAATTCATAAGTTTTGCTGATTCACTAATATTTGCTAGTTTCTTCTTGGTTGGACTGCTTTTCATTCTTTGGATATTGCATTTCTGTTATACATTTTGACATTTGATCATGTCCTCTTGTTTGCTGAGAGAAAAAAGAAAGAAAGATTTGTCTCCTCCTCTTGTTGCATAGGAACCCAAAACCAACCCACCAAAGAACAGAAAAAGAAAAAAGAAAAAAGAAATATTACACCCACCTCAAGTTAAAAATCTAATTCATTTAAGCTTTTATATCTGTGTTTCTGTTGTGTGAACTCCACCTCAACTCCAAAGAAAAATAAATAAATTAGAGGGTGCATTTGCTAACGCATGGGTTGGGAATCTCTTAACTATATTTAACTTTTCAAACTAATTTCAAAAGCACCATATTAACATACCAACATGAAATATCGTTTATCGAGCCTCCATTAGTGTAAAAGGACTGTGACTTCATTAGCTGAAAATGCTTTAGAAGAAGGATAGACCTCGAGTTCATTGACATCCTATTTTTTGTTGTTAAATTTATGGGTTAAACCCGTGTTATTTGTTATAAATAAATTCATTTTTTTAATTCTTGCCAAATGGGGCTAATAGCTGGAAATCATTAGAATGAGAGGTATTGGAAAGAATTTAAATTCTCATTCCCCAATATTGCTTGTACCAATAAAATAATTGAAGAAATAGCTCTAGTCCAATGGACTAAAGTGGTAGTTCAGCCCCAAACCTTAAAATGATGTTACGAAATTGTATGTTTCAATGGTGTCTCTCCTGGTTTGAGTGTGTCCCTAATTTTGCTTGCTGCAGCATCATGACAGGTCCACAAGCTTCAATAGTGATCAAGAAAATTAAGTTGATCATGAAAGCTTAGCTGAGAAACATGGAAGCAATCACAACAATCCATCTCTTTAAGGTCAAGTGGCTGACAATACTAGAGAATATTTTTAAAATCAAGTTTCTAACATGTTTACAGGAAGCTGACTTTGACTGCCTCATACTCATACTAGTCTACTGCACACCATCCATCCGTGGCATGGAAGAGACGTTCATATGTTATTATCCTATTATCCGGATGGAAGACTTGGAAAGAGATGGAGGTGTTTGTGGGAAAAAAACAATAATTTGCAATGCTAATAAATAAAGAGTGATAAATTAATGAATGATTGTACTTAATTGGCTATGGAGGAACACATCCACTTGTTAGTCAAAACCTTCCTCTAGATGCAAGGCCTGCCCAATGTTAGCAATATTATTATTCCAGTGCAAGGCAGTCCAAGCTGAGCCACCAAACGAGGCCTCAACATTTGAGACAAATTTCTTTCCATAAACTTAGTGTCGTTTAGTCGTTCTGTATCTAACAAAACATAAAATGGAAATTTTAATTGAAAGAAAGTCACTCTCCAATTCTATTATAGCACTTCATCTGTCAACATCATGATCGATACATATATTCTCAATGGGCAACCGATATAAAGATTTATACATAGTAATGCACACATGAATAACTAGTGAAGTTGTTATACATAATGCCAATTTAATAAATTATAAAAACTTAATACGCAAGAAATATGTGTAAAGAGGATAATAATCTTTTTAATACAGGAACACACAAGCTAGCACCCTCTGAAGATCAAACTTAACGTGCATCAAAATTGGAAATGGACAAGTCATTCACTGATGTAATTTCATGTTGCTTTTCACCTATACCAGCTTCCACCAATTTCCTCCCAACAAAAAATGCTGGCTTTGTAGGTAAGGCTAATGGTGGGTTTTCATTTGTCAACATAGAAATCACATCTGACATGGTAGGCCGATCGGCTGCATCTTCCTCTACACATAACAGACCAATATGGATGCATCTTAACAATTGATCTTCAATACATGATGAATCACCTACCATTTGATCCATTAATTCTAGCCCTGAACCTTGTTTCCATAACTCCCATGCCTGAAATATATAAGCATTTAGGATATCAGAATGGTTGAATTCACACCTTGAGAAGAAGAAATTATAAATGCAAAGATTTGTTTGACATACATATCCTACTAAATTGAGTGCGCGGTCATCATTGTAGAAGCTGTTGTTTTTCCTCCCGCTTATGATTTCAAGCATCAACACCCCAAAGCTGTAGACATCAGATTTTACAGAAACAATTCCCTCCACAGACTCAGGAGGCATGTAACCACTGCACCAAGTGAAAAGGAAAAGGCTTTAATTAGTACATAATACATATATTTCAAACATGCATGTTTAGCAACCAAAAGTAGAACATATGATAATAATGTGAACACACAGACATTTTACTAACCGTGTCCCGACAATCCTGCTGGTGTTTTCTTCCAATTCATCGTGGGAGAAAATTCTTGCCATACCGAAATCGGAAATTTTAGGGTTCATATTTTCATCAAGTAGTATGTTACTAGCTTTTAAATCTCTATGAATTACTCGCGTTCTCGAGTACTTGTGCAAGTAAAGCAATCCCTGAGCGATTCCTTCAATTATATTGAAACGCTTCTTCCAATCTAGTAGCACACCTCTGATTGAAACTGTCACATATAGAGTTAAGGAAGAATACTATTTGTAATCTACATATTTTGACAGTGATGAAAAATCAAATAACAAATGAAATCAAGCACTATGATTAAAATGGTTTTAATTCCCAACCAAATAAAAAGTAGTCCAAGCTTTTGTTTGGCATGTACTAATATATCAACATCCTCTCTTCTTCATGAATGCAAAATCCAAAGAGCTGAACAAGGTTTCTATGTCGAAGTTCATGTATGAGTATCAATTCATTCTTAAACTCTGACGTTCCTTGTCCGGAACATTTTGAAAGCCTCTTCACGGCTATTTCTCTTCCATTCGCTAATTTTCCCTGAATAGATTCTCAACAATATCCTGAATTGTTTCAAAAAAGAAAAGAAATCACTACACAGTTTAGTACGCAAGGCCTTACCTTATAAACAGGTCCAACTCCCCCTTCTCCGAGCTTGTTTTCTTGAGAGAAGTTGCAAGTGGCAGCCAAAACAGATTCATAGGTAAATATGTTTTAAATCATGCTGTCCCATATTTTCTTCATCAGTAGGTCTGTTGGAATGTTTCAAGAAGCTAAGCATTTTGTCCTGTATATTTGCTCTGTTCTTGCCTATTTATTTAGATTGGTGGAGAAAAGATTTGAATTTAGGTCAACAATGTCAAACGTGCAAATTCTGTCTAACAAATGCACGAGGCTTAAAGATTATTTATACCTGAAACTATTCTTCTTCTTAGCATATAGATGCAGAACACCACTACAAGTACTGCAGCAGCAATAGCAATGCCAACCCACAACCACTTATGTCCTGCATAATTTATAGACTAATATTTAATTAGCTGCATATATTAATTATTTATTTGGCTCATTTGTTTCTGGTTAAAGTCTGTTGCTTAATTGCACATTAACTGTCTCTTGTGAAGCACAGATATCAAAATTGGCAGCTAGACTTACCATTTTTTTTGGCAGATGGTGGTTTTACTGGTGTTGCTTGTCCTGACAAGACAAAACTGTAACTTGCAGTGAGGTCTTCAAAGAATTGACAGTCTACACTCCAGAATCGGCACCCGGTGCTAGTCCCATTAACAAGAGGAACGTCAAATCCAAGGCAATCACAATTTTGCCAACAGGTAGCCTTACAATCACTACTACTAGTGCCAAACCAGGACGGGGATCTCGAACTATTACTAGAGTTGTTGATCTTGAAGTAACCATTTTTGAGCTCAAATTCATCATCGAATTTGGCCATGCAATCACTTGGCCGATCCTCTCACACACCCTCCAACTGTGTTATAGCCATCACAGTCCTCTGCTTGTGCGAAATTAAAGGATCCGTCATGAAAGCTCCCCATAAAGGTTAGCACCCATTGTGGTTTCTGATCACTTTGATCATGATCTACAGCAGTGTAAGTGAAGTAGTCTTCATTCTCATTTGAAACTACACTAAAATTATACCTCAGCTTGGACTCCTCAGCCGAAATAAATTCAAACGTTTTACTACTGCTTGTAAAGACTCCACTAGTCCAATAAAGCACCCCCTGTCGCCTGATTTGCAATTGGTGTCCATTGGGATCCCAATCAAGAGTGAATGGCCCTGGCATTGGGTTGTTGTAAGTAGCCCATGATGACATCGACCAAAGATGGCCACTCTTATGATTAATACCTAACTTCATGCCAGGTAAAAATGTGCCAAATGGATAGTCAAAACTTTGCCACCAAACCTGCTTTGTCGATCCATCCGTAGAGTTCACTTCTTGCAGTATAAAATTGCCAGAATCCAAAAGGGTAGCCACAACACTAGTACTAATATTGCTAGTTTGTGGAGCAGAGGAAATGACAATAGGGTCTCCACCTTGGTGAGTCAGTTTCAATGTATTATTCCAGTCCAAGGTCAGAACTGCAGATGAAGGGTATACAATAGGTGTGTCTCGGTTGCCAATCCATACATTGTTTGGAGCTTCTTTGTTCAGGATAGCTAGATAGCTGTTGTTGTTGGAACCATCAATATATACATAGAAATACAAACTGAACTTTCCCGATGCAGATACTAAGGAACTTGAGGAATTGAGAGTGTCCCCTGGTTTGAGTGTGTCACTTGCAGCATCATGGTAAGTCCACAAGGAAGCAAAAATGATGAAGATAATTGAGCTGATCATCATCAAACCGGTAGCCATGGATGTCAACAGGTCAGGCAGTTAATTTCTCAAGATGATCATGAACACTTAACTGAAATAGTTTAGGCATCAAATAAAGTTCTTACAATTCGACATGAAGACTTTGTTTTCTTTTATTTGATTTTAAAATTAGGGAAATAGTTTGACTCACTCTTTTTTATACTTATGGACACACCATATCCATCATCCATCTGTGCTCTTGGAGAGAAGGTTATATCTTCCTTTCTTTTCTCTTTGCTTTTCTTTCTTCACAAGGCACTTGGCTCCTGGTTGGAGTCGTATTTGTGGGAAGACGATAATTCCAAATTGTAACAAAAAGAATAACTAAACAAATTCCTCGTACCATCGAGGGTTATTTAAAAGGAATAAATAAAATATATAAGGGAACACTTGTACTTAATCATGATGAATAATATTAATTTTCTGGTTAAGAGGTGCAAAGCCATTTGCTGAAGGTTTGAAAATGTAGAGGGGAAGGAGAGATTTGAATTTGAAAGCACTGTCGTTTTCTCATACTGGTAGGTAATGAGTCACAGCTGAAGTTTCAAACTAGCTAAACCTTAAAAGAATGCTCATTAAAAAAGAACCCAAGTCAAGTTTCTGATAAAAGACAGTAAGATATTGATAAATGTCCAATCATTCTTAGCTGGAAATGGGTTTTAGTGAACTCACACACAGTTGCTGTAATATAAACGTCATCCTATTACAATAACAACTTCCTTATATTAGATTCATAATTCTACACAAGTAACTCATCACCAGATTGGAATTGGACAAATAATTTTATCAATATAACTTGTGGTCCCTTTCTATCTAGCTATAGCAGCAGTGGCCACGTTTCTTTCTGTGTAAAATGCTGGCTTTGTTGGCATAGCTAACTCCATGCTTTCACTTGTCAGCATAGATATGACATCTGACATAGTTGGTCTATCGGCTGCATTCTCTTCCACGCAAAGGAGAGCAACAAGCATGCATCTTAAGAATTGATCTTTAATACATGAATCTCCTAGATTTGGATCCATTAATTCAAGCCCTCCACCTTCATTCCACAACTCCCATGCCTGAATCTCCTAAGTACTTGTACAAGTAAAGCAACCCCTGAGCGATTCCTTCAATTATACTTAAACGCTTCTTCCAAACTAGGAGCAAACCTCTGGTTGATTCTGTCCAATATATGACAGTTTATTAAAATTCATATAACAAATTGAACAAATGAAATCCAGTACAAAGATTAACGAAGGCAAATTTCCCAACCAAATAAAAAGTAGTCCAAGCTTTTGTTTGGCATGTACTCATATATCACCATCCTCTCTTTGCCATGGATGCAAAATCCAAAGAGCTGAACAAGGTTTGTATGTTGGGGTTCATATATAAGTCTTAATTCATTTTTAAACTGCAATGTTCCTTATCTTGAGCATTTGGAAAGTCTCTTTACAGCTATTTCTCTTCCTGTCGCCAATTTTTCCTGAATCGGCAATTCATAATATTTTTCAGTTGTCCCCAAAAAAACCTAAAAACTATGATATTTCTCTGCTATTGGTATACTTTTTTTTTAATCACTTTAAGCCTTACCTTATAATCAGGTCCAAAGCCCCTTTCACCAAGCTTGTTATCTTCAGAGAAGTTACAGGTGGCAGCCAGGACAGATGCAAAGCTAAATATGCTTAAAGCATGACGTCCCATGTTTCCATGATCATTTTGAAGCCCATCAAAATCATCAGTAGGTCTATTATATATCATGAAGTTGAGCAATTCGTTCGGACTGTTTGTCCTGCCATCGCCTGTTTAGATTCATCGTGTAGACAATTAAGATTTTAAATTTGACACAATTGTTAAAGATGCGAAAATTATGTTTAACATGTACACATAAAGTTTAAAGAATATACCAGCTGAAAGTACAAACTTTTTTCTTCGTTGTAGATGGAACCCGATGCAGAGCACCATTACTAGTACTAGAGCACCGGCAAAAGTAGTGCCAATCAATATCCTCTTGTATGAGCTTTTGGAGTGAGCCTTGGTTTCAGAAGGCCCCCTAAATTCATTTCATTAGACATGCAGATATAGGGGTAATATAATTTGCTGTTAATGTTCGTTTTTTGTTTGTACATTAATTGTCTTTTTGGAAAATTAATATATGTGAGGTGGTATGAAGTTGGACTTGTGGTCTAAAAGCTCAATTTTTTTAACAAACCTCTTTCATTTTAAAAAACAAAACCAGAACAGCAGGAGACATAAACCAAAACAGAGCAGCGAAAAAAAATACAGCTGACTTATGGCCCTTGTTCCGTCTTCAGTTTCTTAGAGGGCATGGTCGTCCATCCACGTGAGTTAGGACTCGTGTCAAAAATGTAGCGTCATGGATCCACCCCCTATACATATATAGTTCTATATCAATTCAAAGTGTAATAACTAGAGGCTGTATACCTATCGCCTCAAGTGAAGACTTTAAGCTGTAAATTTCACGTTTACAATTTATTGAGTTTCGCATAAACGACCATGGGATGTAACGTGTGCTTTGGGGATGCCTTCAGTTGGAAGAACACTGATCTTACTTTCAACCCAAGAGAAAAAAGACAATTGATTTAATATAAAATTCATTTTTTTTTTTTTTTTTTTTTTTTTTTTTTTTTTTTTTTTTTTCTTATTGATGGCATTTCATAAAATTCAAATCATCTCGCAGCAATGTATTTACAAAATTTGATATCTCAAGAGTATAGTCGCCAAATATATTATAAAATTTTAAACGTATAGCCGGACGGCTATACTTTCTAAATACTTCCGAATATATTAAAAGTATAAATGTTAATATATTCGAATATTTTAAAAGTATAGCCGCGCGGCTATACGGTTTTCATATATTCAAAACGAAGCTTGCACTCGCAGAGGACGGAGGTTGCAGTCGAAGTTTCGCTTCTCTATCAACTCAAGCTTCGATTTGTTTTCTTCGGTTTCGGCTGCTTCGTCCTCTGGGTTTGGCAACGACAAAAGACCCAACCCGCCTAGGAGGCCCGCCCAGCCGTCTCGCCGCCCGCCTAGCCGCCTAGCCTCCCGCCTATGCCCATTTTTTAGAGTCTAAAGCACAAGATGCCGGGGATAGACTCGAAACGGCTGCCTCTCAGTCTCAAAAGGTTATGCACTGATGTACTCAATCCATCTTTGGTCTATGGCTATGAGTGTGTGATGTTGTTAGTGTGGTGTTCATTTTGCCATTGGCTTCTTTCTCATTGCTTTCAGATGGCTGACATTGTTACAGAACAATGGATTCAAATTCAGCGGCTTGGGCAGGCTCTTCACATTACACAAGTAAGTTTTTTCCGCTCGAAACTGGC